TTTTCGGGTTAGGTTAGGGTTAAGAGTTAGATTCGATGGATTTTAGCAAGGCTTATGTTTTTAAATAGAGACCCCAAATTTCAGCATCAGTCAATTTCAGAATCTGTCGCGACAATAATCTAAATTTTTTAATTAATATTTGGTTTATTTTTCTAGTGTATCCGTGCAACACCACAAGTTACTGATATGTCAGACGAAGAAAAAAGGATTGTAGATAAAGTACTTTTCAAAAAAAGTCTCAAAATTCAGACGAATAGAATTCCGAATAATAGTCGAATAATTAAAACGAATGTTCTCGTTGATATTGGAAAGACGGCAGGTAATTCAACTCTCAATTTTCCATCACCATTGCTTAGGGCTACATACCTTCAAGATCGTTTTGGTTACGTTACACGGTCTACGTCGCCACCCAAGACATTTGAAGACTTCATAAAATCTGTATTCGCAAAAATGAACCCAAAAATATTACAAAACAGCAAAGGAAAAGGTGAAAACGGCCGTCTTTTCGAGCGCGTATGGCAGATGGAATTTTATCGTGCCTCATTACAAATTCTTCCTGATGATATTTATCCTTCGGTTGATGTTGGGAAAGTGTTTAGATCAAAGGGGTATGTGGATTTTTATATAAATGATAAACGTAACTGGGCTATCGAACTGTTACGTGATAGAGAAAAGTTGAATGAACATAAAAAAAGGGTTCAGGAAGTCGGTATATATAATCCTATTCTTAAACATACGAAACAATGGGCTATAATTGATATTCGAAATTGTAAAATGAAAGCTCCAGAGCCAGAAAAACGGGAAAAAAATGATATTTATGTTATTTGTTCTGAAAACTTCGAATTTGTTCAAATAATGTATCCTGATGGAACTAATGAGGATGTTCGGTTACTAGGCGAAGAAAATTTACTTGATCATGACATATCGGAATTTTCAGACGATTCAATGGAAATTTTTGACTAATTTTAAAATGGGTCATCGACCGCTCGGTTTAATCTATTGTCACAAGTAACAGTTGATTGTTATTATCAGCTGTAATAGAATGTGTGCATAATATTAGCAATAAAGAGCTAATACAATGTAATTATGATTAAATACATAAATAAGAATATTAGAAAAGGAAAATTCAAATCACATACAAGATATATCTAATAAAGAAAGTCTTCATTTTGCTTGTCCAATTACATCACTATCCTTATTTCCTATAATAAAACGAATGCTATCTTGTTAGTAGTTAAATTCGAAATATATTGTAATTGAGTTTTAGATATAATGCAGTAGTTAGTAGTTAGCTTCAAAATATATAGTATATAGTTAGATATAGTAATTATGTTTTAGGCGTAGTGCAGTAGTTAGTAGTTAGAACTGTAGTTAGCAGTTAGATTCGAAATATATGGAGTAGATTTGGAATATAGTACAATATATAGTTATTTTTATGTTTTTTTTTAATTTTTTTTTAATTTATTTTTTATTTTTTATGAGCTGATTTCTGGGGTTGTTATGTAACATGTTACAAATAGATTAGTCCAAAAATTAAAATTAATTTTAATTGGTTTCATTCTTTCTAAACAATTTATAAGCTAATTTCTGAACTAGATGATATCACCTAAGGTAAAAGTTAGCAACATTCTTTTATTAATAAAGTTATAAAA